AGGGCGTGTTCAGCTGCTACCAAATTAAGGCCTAGCTTACGTATTTTTCAAAATCAATCACAGGTCTAGTGCTGTAAAAATATGTTTATTTATGAATCTTTATGCGTTGCTATTGGTCGTGGCATCTCCGGCCCCTGCTTCGCCTCGGGAGCGACCTGCCCCACGGCGAAAACTTTTGCCTGACACCTCCGTAGAAGAAGTAAGCCCCCAGGATGAACCCGAGCGGCTCGCCCCAGAGATGGAGGAAGGGCTTTATTTTTTTATTTTTGTTTTTTTTGGTTTTTTTTAAGCCAGTCGCCCTTTCCTGCCGACCGCCTGGGCGGAGGGCAATCTGCGCATCATCAACCCCGCTCTGTGTCTCTCGTTGCCACCACCTGGGCACAAAGGTGGCACTGCGTGGTTTGAGCGGAGTCCTAGTTTGTACTCCGCCTCAAAACATCAACCTGTTGGAGCCCGTTGGCGGAGGCGCAACAACAAACCTCCACCCATGTCACCCGCGCCAACGCCAAGAGAACATGGACGGCGCAGGCTCACTGGACGGGCCGCCACCGTAGGCCGCGCCCTCAAACGCGGAGGCCCAGGCCGACTCCCCTTCCCCTGCCCTGCCCGCGTCCAAAAAAGAACGGGAAAAGAGAAAACGATTGGATGTCGAATCCACCGTTCGGGACGGACAAAAAGCCAACCGCGGCCAGCCAGTCAAACTTTTGTGCCCATCTTTTGCTTTCCATTGGTTCCCGTCCAGTCAAAAGTGTTGCGGGAACAGGCATGGCTGAGCAACCAACACAGACGCAATTGCCCTCCCAACCGATGACGAAATCTCCAGGCAAACAAAGGTCTAGCGTCCCAAAAAGATTTAGGGAAGGACAAAACAAAACAAAAACAAAACAAACTATCAGATCAGCCTGTTTCGACCACAAATCAAAAACGCTCCCAGCCCGTCGCGAACCATCATCCACTTCATGCCCGTTACAACCATTTTAGGCTTAGTGCTTGCTTGTGCTTTCTTACCTCCCATTCTCGTCTCTGGGCCTTTAAGTTTTCTCGTAGCTCGGCCCGGCCCAGCTCTCTGTGGCAGGCCGGTGCCTACAGGAAGGGAACTAACCCATAACTCTCGCTGGCACCTCCTCCGTTCCGCATGTACGGCTGTAGTGCTTAGCCGTCCCCTGAGGGAAATGGGGGAGGCGCATAAGGCTCAGTATGTGTGAGACTTATCGGCACAACAAATGGATCGTGCCTTTGTCACCCATTCGTCCGAGTCCGAGACCCGGCCCGAGGTGGCGGCCGTTGGTACCTGTTGCGTGTCTTTAGATCATTCATCTCCATCCGATACAAGCGGCATGTTCGTTCGGGTGTGCCCGCCTACTTACTGTCCGGTGATGGCTGCGGCCTTCCTCATTACCACATCCAGCGGCGAGGCATTCGAGCTTCCCCATCGCCCTTGGAACCAATGGTCAGAGTTCCCTATCGCAATCACCTGGGGGCTAGCCGGTTTAGTGGGCGCCGTGATCCCGGTCATTTCCCATCGGCTGGGCACGTAATAGGCCGAATTCAAGGAATAATGTTTTCGGAATACCTGGGGGTTCCACCTTCTTAACCCGTTACAAAACCCCTATTATCCATTAAACCTCCATTCTGCTTTTTTGTATTTATAAAAAGGTACCAATTTCGAACAAATTTATCCTATTTAATAAAAAGGCTATTAAAATATAAAAACTATTTTGGAATAGCTAAATTTAAAAAAACAAATATAATTTTTTATTTATTTTCTTTTTATTTTCTTTTTATTTTCTATTTTATTGTTATTTTTTATTTTGTTTTATTTTATTTTTTATGTAATTTATTAAAAAAATTAATATACTTTTTTATTTATTTTAACGCGTTTATTTTAAAGCTATTTTTTTATTGTATTTTTTGCTTTTTATTGCGTGCATTAAATTTGCTTGAAATTGGTGGTTTTTTATTAAAAAAAAAAAGCGTAATGGAGGTTTTGTAACCCCTTCCTTAGGAGGGGATTAAGAAGGTGATGGTTCCCGTGGTAGTGTCAAGGGTTAATCGGTGCAAAGGCGGGTGGTTACCGGGTCACGGGCCGGATGCGGTGTTTCCTTTGTCAAGCCTCCGTAAATCTCTTACCAAAAGTGCTATCGCTAACAAAAATTGTTCCTTCTTTAACTTCCCCCTCCCTCGTGCCCTTTCGGGCACCCGGGGTCGGTTTTTTAAATCCTTCGCGTTCCAAACGCTTTCGTGCAATTTAAACTTTACTTTATTTTTTAACTTCGCTATTATGCTTTGGCCGCGATACCGGTAATTTGCCGGCATATTTTTGGGGGGTTCGTGCTTGGCTGGCTGCCAGCGCTTCCTTTTTCTTTTTTTGCCGGGCGGTTTTGCCCGTGCATTTAACGCTTTTCGCTTTTTGCCGGGCGGTTTCGCCCGTACTTTTAACATATTGCCCTTTCCCGATACGGCCTGTCCCAAGCCGTTTGTGCCGCGCGTGCAACCCCGTAAGTAACCGGTAGCTTACGGTATTTCGCTAAACCGCTTTAATGCCCGGCAACGCTTGGGGAAACCGGTTATAAAGCTTTGTAGCATTCGGAAAAATGGGTCCGTACCGGCATATAAAAAGCTTTTTTTCCCGCTCGAAGCTACGAACCCTTTTTTTTCCTTTTTGTACATTTAATAACCATTTTAACAATTTTAACGATTGTAACCGTAAGTAATCGGTATTTGGCCGTTCCTTTTAAACATTTAAATTTAACCGGTAGCTACAAATGTTATTTTTCGTACCTAATTACGTAAAAAAGGTAATATTTTTTTAAATATCCGCTTTGGGTTTTTCGGTTCCAACCGGCCCGCTGGCCTTTTTTAGCAACCCCCCGGTATTTTTCCCAATTATTATAATTTAATCGGATTCGGATTCGGTTTTGCTAAAATTTTTAATTTTTTAAATCTTTAACGATCGCTTTACCGGTAACCCTTCGATAAACTTTTTAAATATCGCGGGTCCATTGGGCCTTTTTACGCTTGCAGCTTTTTAAGATTCCCGCAAACGTTTTACCGGTAACCCCCCGGCGGGCTTTAACCGCCGCGGCAAAAAAACCTCCGCCGAAAAAAAGCGTAAAACGCGCAACGAACGCCGCCGCAACGCTTTTAATTCCAATAAACCTGCCCCCGAAACGGACATTACCTTTTTTTCGCTTTATATAAATATCCGCAACGCGTTTCCGTCGCAAAAAGTTATCGATTTCCAATAAAGCAATAATTGGAATTTTATTTATTTGCCCTTTTTTAAAAATAATTATACGAAACGTACGGTATTTTATAGCCGCTATTTTGGTTGTTAAGCATATTAAAACTATACCGTTAACCCCCGTATACCGATATACTCCGATAATTGTATAAGGTCCTTTAAATATATTTATTGCAAGGACGTAATTGGCAACAAAGCTTGCGTTAAACTTCCCGAATGGTTTTAAAAAATGGCCCAAAACCTTTACAAAATTTTAAATACCGTTTACAAGCAATTGCCTAAAACGATACCAAAATTTTTCGAAAAGCTTATTAAAATTTAATTTTGCGCTTGCAAAGCTATTTAAAAAGCCAAATCCTTTTATACCATATCGGCCGAACAATTTGCGCGCTATAAACGTTAAACCGTTATTTAAAAACGCATTTAGCGCAAAATTATTAACGTTGCGACATTAAAAACTACCCAAAACATTTTTTAATAGCTTTACGCTATTGCCGTTTAAACGAAAAGGTAAGTTTAAGCTTTAGCTAATATCGGTAATTTTTTTAACGAAATAAAAGCGTTTTTTAAACGTTTCGAAAAAAATGTAATTGCTTTTTTTGGTGGCATTGCCGCTAGCTTTGTTATAATTGCGGCGCATTTAAATACCCAAGCTTACAATCGCGCGGCTTCCCGTAAAGGTGCGGCGTTCGTATTAGCGCCGGAAAGTGCCGCTTTCGGCGCCAACAATTTTAGCGGCAACGATTGTAACGCTAACGAAAAAAACGTAATTTCCAAAAGTTTTGGTTCTTTTAAATACGGCATTTAATCGATTTTTTTTACATATTTTCCTAATTAATTATTGGTATTCCTTTTTCGAAAAATGGTTAATTTTAAATTTTTTTTATTAATTTGTTATAATTAAAATTACAATTTCCTTTTGTTATATTGCTTTTGTAACATTGCGAAATTCCAATATTTTTAATTACCAGCTAAATTTTAATGCCCCAATAAATAATTTTAAAATGCTTTTTTTTCGCCCCCCAATAAATTTAAATACCGCTAACATGCATTTGCCGTTATTTAAACGCTTAAGCCCGTCCGCCGTACCATTTGGAGGTTTTCCCACCTTTTTTTCGGGCAAGCAATAATATTTTTTACCATAACGTACGTTTAAAGTGCGGTAATTGCTTTAGCGTATCGCGCTAAGCATGCCTTTTACGGGTTTTTTAAAATGTGCTACACTTTGCATATCCTTTGGAATTTAAATATATCGCATTATTAATTTAAAGCGTTCCCCGTATTATACCGTTTTTATTTAACTTTTTGTTTATAAAGTACAATATTTTACGGTTATTACAAACCGCTTACGGGTTTCCTTACGTTCTTTCCCGGTAACCAGCCGGTTTGGCACGTTAAAACATTTTTTTAAGCCATTTTTTTAGCCCTTATTACTTTTTTCCTGTAATACCCCCGTCCTTTCCGGGTATTTACCCGCTAAGGTCCGGTATTTTCCTTATCCTATAAGCTCGCTTCCAATAAGTTTGCTTTATACGCTTAAACAATTTTTTTCGTAATATCCCTTTTTAAAATTTACAAATTTTTTAATTCGTTGTAACCTATCCATTTAACCAGGTATTTTCGTTTTCGCAAAAGCCCTTTATATCCCAACAAAGCCTTTACCTTAAAACGATCCTTTTTTTTTCCTTCGATTTTTGGTTTTTTATTTTTTGGTTTTTTGCCGGGCCTTTTTTTAAACGCCCGCAACAAATTTGCCGGGAATACGTTATATATCCGGTAATTTACCGGAAGCTTTAACCGGAACGCTAAACCGGTTAACCCAACCATTTTTAAAATTTAAAAAGGTCCTAACCATTTATCCAATAGCTTTTTTAACGGCCTTTTTATTTTAATATTTGCCGTATTTAGCAATACCCAATTGCTTACCCCGAAAAGCACCGGGGTCCTGCCTTTATTATAGTACTTTTTGTACATATTATTCGCTTTTTTTAGCAATTTTTTGGCTTATTTCCTAATTGCCTCCAAAGCCCCCGCCCTAATTTTAACCGTTGCCGAAGG